TTTTTTTTTTTTTTTGTACGAGCTGAAAGCCACCGTTTTGTTCCCTCTCTTCAATTGATATGGGATCTCATAATCCAATCTTTCATGCCCAATATCCTCGCGGGCACACCATATGGTGTCTAGGTCTGATATCATTTGTAACAGTCCTCACAATTACTAGATATTGTCCATTGATCCGTTACGTATTGTTATCAGTCTCACAGTTTTAAAACACGTCTACTAAAGAGAGATTTCCACACTTTTATAAGAGATACTTCGTTCACCTCTCCAACCGATATGGAATCTCACATGCTTCTTTTTATGAACATAAGTTACCATAGCACAATTAATTTACAATTAATTGAGATAAACCAAAAAGTAGAATTTTAAAATAAATAAATAAATATTGGATAAGGATATGCAATATGGGCCTTTAATGGGTTGGGCTGAATTCGAACTGGCCCACTTACTCTTGGACTTATGATCGCCAAGGCCCAGATGAAGTTTTCTGCTAAAATTAATTTTTTATATTTAATAATTTTAATGCAAAATAATAATTTAAAGGAAATAAAAAAAAAGTCAATTTTCAATAATACCCCACATATTTATAATTTTGATTTATAGCCCACCGTTTGCTTCTTTAATGGCTATTTACATTTACACCCAACAACTAATTAATTATTTTTAAAACATTTATTATAAAGAAAAGAATTTATAAAAGAGGTATTAAGTAAAATAAGTCACATCAATGCATATAAAAAATACTTATTTAATATTAAATTAAAAAAATCATTTTTATAATTAAAATTTTATCAAATAAATGGTTAAGTGTGTGAAAATAATGTGTGGAATTTTATATTATATTTATTATGTTTTTTTTTTTTTTTTTGTTCTTGATTAAAATTTCAAAATGAATTTAAATAATAAAAAAAAATCAAAGGATAATGTTGAGGGGAGGGTAAAGAAAGTGAAAATGGTAGAAAAAGAAGGGTAAAAAGGTCATTTGATTATGTGTCAAAGTCCCACATTGATAGCAACATACCACTAAACTCTTGTACTCTACACATGCTTTTAACTCTTATATTTCTCTTTAAATTTAATAAATTTCAAAATTATTTATTTTCAAAAAATTATTTGTGGGAAAGAACACGTAATTAAATAAAAATTTATCACTTTTTTATAATTTTTTAAATATAAATTATTGTCTATAATAACATCACACCCGTCGCATTAACGATACTTATTTTTTATTTTCTATATTTAAAAATTAAAAATTATGTTATCATACATAATTTTTTTTGAAGAAACCTCTGTTCTTAATTTTTATACATTTTTTGTTTCTAATTATTTAAAATTTTAAAAATTTAAGATTTTAATAATAAATTGATTAATTGATACTATGTTAAAAAAATTATAAATTTATGTACTAAATTAGACATTTTTTTAAAATTTAAATTGAAAAATATTATATTTTGAATTATTTACGGAATATCCATTTAATAGAAATATACTATCAAAATTAATAAATTAATGTCTTTAATATTAACAAATTTTATAAAAAGGGACAAATTTAAGAGATAATGAAAATAGTGTTTTAAATTGAATGAAAATTGTTTTTTATTTAATATATTTAAAAGGTACACATTTTTAAAATAATATTTACAAATTAGTTCAAATAATTGTGTGGGCCAAATAAATAATTATCAAACACTCTGGGAGTTGGAAGGTGCACCATAGCGAAGATCAATCCATCTCACTCAATCTACAAAAAAAAAAAAAACATTGCCTTGGACGCATGCAATCCAAAAAAAGAAAGACAGCTCGCTTGAACAAAACTCTTTTAGTTAGAGCCTGGTACAAGCTAAGCCCCTTCGGCAACAAGAGTCGGTTATAAATAAAATAGTCTTTAGGTCAGCTTTCCCGTTCTTTCAGACTTTCGGGCCCGTAGACTTTATAGCGGACCTGCCTGACAGGGAGGTGGCCCTTCACTTAAATTATTAGAATTAATTTAATAGAATTTAATTAAGATTATATAGAATTTGAAAAATTAAATATGTGAATCAAATTTAACTCTAAACATTAAATTCGAGATTCAAAATTAAATTAATGTGGAATTATTTACAGTTTTAGTTTTTTATTTTTTATTTTTAGGTTATAAAAATGTAAAATATTAGTTTTGGAAAAAGGATAAATTTACTGAAATAATTAGTGAAAAATATCTACAAAAATTTAATATTCAATAAATAAATAAATACTTTTTTTATTTATCAAAATGATGAAAAATAATTGAATTTAAAATAAAAATAAAAATAAAATAAAATAAAAGGTAAAAAGGGAGAGAAGAAAGGGACTGGACGAGGTCTCACCAAATAATTCAACCTTGCTGCCATATCTAATCTTTACCAAATTAATTTTAATTTTATATATATTACTTAAAAAAATCAATAAATATTAGTAACAGCTCAAACCCACTTCAAGCGGTATTGTTATTTTTAGGCTTTTGTTACGGGTATGCTAGATAATGGTTTTTACACCGTTAGATGTTTCGTTCACCTCTCCAAGTGATATGAGATCTCACAATCCACCCCTTTCGAACCCCAACGTTCTCGCTGGCACACCACCGTCTGACTGTGATACAATTTTTGACCGTCTAAATTCACCACTAATAGATATTATCTTCTTTGAACTTCCTTTACGGGCTTCTCCTCGAGGTTTTAAAATGTGTAAAATATGAAGAGGGTCTAGCCCTACTCCGACCAATGTTTTATTCCGTCATGTGACTGATTGTGATTGTAACAGCTCAAATCTATCGTTAGCATATATTATCAGTTTTGGGATGAGGCAGGGCTCTAATACCATTTTTCATTTTTTATAGGCATCAACATCTTTTTTTCATATCAAATTAGTCTAGTCACGTATATAAATCCTTAGTTAATTATATGATATTAAAATAAACCAGGATGAAATTAGTGATGATAAAAAAAAAATAGAGCAATATGAGTGAATATCTATAAATGTTAATTATCCAATATAGGGAAAGTAAATTGGGTATTACACAAAAGTTATCATTTATTGAGTGTCAATTTCAAGACAGTAAGATTTGGGAACTTGAAATGATGCGTACAACAAAACAAATGGGAGCTTGATTGTCGTCCCATTTTCGGAAATTTCATTGACTTTATTTTTTTTAAATATAAAAACAAATCCTATTATGGGTCTCTTCTTTAATCTTTTGTTAATATATATATATAGGGGTGCATATTAAAAAAAGAAAAAAAAAAAAGAAAAAAAAAGAGGGATGTTCTCTCATACGATAGATAAAAACTCCCCCACGAAAACAAAGAAATTAAGTTTCAAGAAAATAAGAACTCCCATAGAGGAAAACAATAGATAATAACTCCCCCACAAACACAGAAGACTTGATTCTCAAGAAAATAATAACTAGTATAGAGGCCAACGAAAGATAATACCTCTCCCATGAACATAGAGAACTTAAGTTTCAAAAAAATAAGAACTAGCATATAGGCCAACGATAAATAATACCTCTCCCATGAACATAGAGAACTTGAGTTTCAAAAAAATAAGAACTAGCATATAGGCCAACGATAGATAATACCTCTCCCATGAACATAGAGAACTTAAGTTTCAAAAAAATAAGAACTAGCATATAGGCCAACGATAGATAATAACTCTCCCACGAACATAGAGAACTTAAGTTTCAAGAAAATAAGAACTAGCATAGAGGCCAATGATAGATGAGAACTCTCCCACGATCACAGAGAACTTAAGTTTCAAGGATAGATAAGAACTCTCTCACGATCACAAAGAACTTAAGTTTCAAGAAAATAAGAACTAGCATAGAGGCCAATGATAGATGAGAACTCTCCCACGATCATAGAGAACTTAAGTTTCAAGAAAATAAGAACTAGCATAGAGGCCTGTAGATAATAACTCCCACGAACCTAGAGAACTTAAGTTTCAAGAAAATAAGAACTAGCATAGAGACCAACTATAGATAAATAATAACTCCCCCATGTAAACTAAAATAATTATCAAACTAAACTTAAATTATTACATGCTAAACTTAGGCTACATGGTTAGTCAATTAAATCATACTCATCAAAAAAATCTACTGTTATGTTATCACGACCAAGTAACATATCTGAATTCATACCTGCACATGGTTGAAAATTAAGCCAATGAATCAAACCAATTGTATATGATAGTTTGGGTAGAACATAAAGGTACATCGGAAGTTTAAATCTCTGGAACGAGGAAAAATAGAAAGGTTATTCCAAACCCAACTTGAACTAATTATTCTCCACTTGTGAAGAAACCCACGTCAGAATTTTCAATATGTTCCCATCAATTATTAACCCCTTTTGAAGTTAGAATTTACTTTGAAGATCTAATGTGAGAGAAAGGCATTAGACAGCAAAATAAACCAATAATTGAATAGGAAAAAAAAAAAAAAGAGGGAAGATTTTGGAGAAAACAATCTATTGGGAGGAGGGAGTACACTAATAGTACAGATTATCACAGCAAATTCAGTAATGATTTTGGGCAGAGATCTTTGAAATCTTATTTACGAGCAGGACAGTATAGTAGGCTAAGTTGCCACTGGTGGTCACTGCCGGCTGCTACAGCCATTAAAGACCT